ATCCTCTCCTGACGACTAACTTATCAAGATGGCCATCTCTAAAAGTGACCACTACTTCTAAAATCATAAGTTAAGACTGACATTGAGCATCACCCACTTAAGATGAGCCAAATCTTCTGGACTCCTGGGTGATCATCTTAGAAAGGGCTCACTATATTTAGTTTAAGAAGAAAAAACAAGTGATATATCGAGATTTTTTGAATATCAAATGAAATATGATCTTAACTGATGTGAATCAGTACTGATTTGTTATTATGATAACACAAAAAAATGCACAAACTTTCTCCATAAATAAATATACATAAACACTCTGTAAATAATATTACAAGTAAATCGCCTGTAGTTCAACCTACCGTGGAAGTAAAAGAAGAAATGCAAATTAAAAAGGTGTAAAATCTGATTTATATTTCGAGACAACATATTCGCTATGTTCAAGGTCTAAACACCTAACATCACTCTGAGCGTGGGGCGTTCTTTTTGGGGCGTTGGCTCATTTTCCTTCAGAATAATCGTGATTTTTGCTAAGTTCTGCAACTGAGCAGAATAATAAGACAATGAATACTCTAGGAGTCTGCTACGGAACATTTTTTTTTAAATACTAATGAGTTATTGTAGCTGAAGAAAAGTTAATAGCCATGTTTTGAACATTATACTTCATTAACTCGGCGACGAACAGCAACCTAGAAAGCATTCATATAGATGGTTGGTTTAATAATTATGTGACTTAATAAATGCAATTTACGACTGGTCAACCATCGCTAAACCTTCACATTTTGTTGTCACCGGTCTGGCGGGACACAAGACGGAGTTAAAAAAACCCAAAAAGACAGAAACAGTTTTAGTAAAAGCCTGCAGTTGAGTATACATTACTTAAAACACGATTTAATATACATTTCTAAGCTAAACGGAACGAAGAAAAGTAGCAAATTAATTTTTTGTCAAACGTAGTTGCTTTTAAACAGTGGAGAAAGTAACACCGAATCTATGAATCCGAAATCTAGCCATTTTCGATATTTTTTCTCTTTTAAATCAGACTTCTTAATTGCTTCATTCTTTAGAGGTAAATAAATATATATCCATAATGAAAACAAGATCCCCCAGAATATCCTATGAAAAGACACTAGACTGTGATATCTCTGCCCAAGTGATACTATCTACTTCATTAATGGGTTCTCTCCAGTTTCCTTTGTAAAAAGAATTCATTGAAAGTCAAAAAATTACCGTAAACCAAAAGGTTACTTAAGTAACTAGTGTTAAAGTAAAAGAGCAAAAATTACCAAAGTAAAATGTGTTATAGTAAAAGAGCATTATTTAAATATTTAAATTATTAAATAATAACCAATATTAAATACTTTAAACTTAAAATTAAATAAATTTAAATATTTTAATTTATAAACTATCTGTAAATTTTTCAATCATCTGAAAAAAAAATTCTGTAGTGTAAGAATGAAAGGAGGTTTATTGCTATTTTATCGAAAAAGTAACTAAATGTAAAGAAAAGCGCTTTACAGAATGCTGAAAGTGTTATAGTAATATTTCATCTGAATTTTAACCACAACATATTTTAAAATTACAATGAAATCTCTTGTATTGACCGACTACCTAAGACCTCTACGAAAGTAACTATTTTTCATGATTTATTTTGACGATAAACATTTGCACTGAACATCATTTTTCTGAGTAATCACTTTCACGTAAGATAAAAGGTCATTCATATAAAACCATTGGTGGTGGTCTTAGAGATGTTTCCCGGTACTTTTAAATTCTAACACATCAAATATATTATCATGTGTGAATTCCGTGAAACGTTCTAAAGCAGTTCAGATATCTCACATCAAAATCCTATCAGGGAGACATCAAATGCTCATTGAAGAAATTTAAATTAAGTAACCTTATTGTAACTTTATTTAAATTAAAAGTGAGCTTACCAACTACGATTCCAGATGGTTTAGAACTTCTGTGTTTGTTTAAGAAAAAACAGTATTCACTTCCAAAATTTGTTGCTATTATCAGAATTACTATTAACTTTCAGATGTTCATTAGAAAGTTCACTGAATGTGTTTACAATTGAAGCTAAAATTTAATTCATTTCATTACTACTACAGTATTAGCAGTTAGTATAATCAATTTTATATTACGCAATTTCAGTTTTATCTTAATCATTATGAAGCACAAATGAATTATACCTCCACATCTAAAAATCTTTGGGTGAAAAAAAAATCAGAATCCTGAAGAGTAACTGCAGTTGTTCCGATGAAAACAATCATTGTATATATAAGGGATTTCTCCCTTCTTTCTGCATGTCTTCGTCGTGTAACTAGAAGCACAATCAACGCGTATTCGGGAGGTCCGGCGTTCCTTCCCGGCGAGAGCATTGCACATTTTTCAACGTTTCAGCGTTGATTTAACCTAATGACTCTACAAAGGGAAAGTAAATATTTTTGAATTTCTTCAACATCATAGACAGGTTTGCTGAGTAGACAACTCAATAATTTTATCCATTATTTTCATCCTGTTTAGTAAAATGACTTTGTTTACAATACTTACGCAAGTATGGAACTTTGCAAAAGAATTTCAAATAATAATAAATCCTGTAGTCTGGAAGATGAGATGCAGTAAGTCGATGATACGAATACACTAAGCTAGAACTGTTTCAAGTTCTAGTTTAGATCATCAAAGGTGCCTTAAATTGCTGCATGGCAGTTCATCAAATAATCGAAACCGAACTCGTATTTGGTAGTCATAAATACTCTCGCGCATAATATGTAAACTTAATAGGAGTTGAAAAGATCCCGAATTCTTCTAAATGAACTCTATTGAAATAAGAGCCATCGAGAAATCATACAATATTTCACTTATTGCAATTCAATAAAAACGAGTTTTACCGTTTAAATAAAATTTTAAGTTGAATGGGATGAATGAACTATACGACTGAAATATATATCTCGTTATAGAAGTTTATTTTTATAATTAAGCTTTAGCAAATACAAATAACTTATATGGGCTCATAGTTTTCAGACACTCGTATTTTTGAAATTTTTTTGGCACAGATTTTGTACAAAATATTGAAACATAGACTCCAAATGTTTTTAAGTCTATTATTTTTCTCTATTTTAAGATTTGCTTGTTAAGAAAAAATATCCTCAAAATATTCCTTATGGCAGAATTATTTATTCAAAACGTATTAATCGGTAACTCACATAATAATTCGGACACCTGCAACTTCTATTGAAATGTTTCGGCAGCTGAAGATTATTGTCATAATTTTTTGTTTTAAATGAAAGTACATCACAATTATCGTCTGCATTTGGAAATTACTACTTCTTTAACAAAAAATATTAAGAGTTTCATATCTGAAGTGAACATGGCATGCCGCTACAGCCTAACAACAAGTTTTTTTAGAAATTTAATTGTTCTTCACTTTAAAGATGATAAAAGCATTTTAAAAATCCAAAACATTCTTGAGCAACTATCTTTTATGTTAAAAAATGATGGAAATTATGTGAAACTGTTGAAAATGCACTGAAGTCTGGACCACATTCCAAGCTAATACTTAGAAGTCAGAGATTTATACTACGAAAAAATATCAAACAAAACCCACACATTAATGCTATAAAACTTACAGAAGATTCATCTTCTAAATCGACTTCGTGCAGTTTGCAATAAAAGTTAATCCTGAATTTGCTAGTACAAGATACAGTGCGTGATCAGCAAGAAGGAAATTCTTCGTCAACAAAAAAACAAGATAAGTACTTCTGGCGTTCGCAAAATCTTAAGCAAAGATATATAATATTAAAACAATGTTATATTTTCAAACAGGTCACAGTTTAGGTTCGATGGACGAATTGCTGTGGACTGAAAGCGGAATAAACAATTGAATCCAAACAAAATTATTACCTACTGTTAAAAATGAGTGAAGGCATAACGGTTTGGGAATGTTTCTGCGCCTTTCGGGTGGGAAAGATAGTTTTTTATAGAAAATAATGTGGATAAGTATAAATATGTTAATATTCTTAGTGAAAATCTGAAAGTAAATACAAGAAAACTCGGAATGGAAAATACATTCAAGTTCTATCAGGCTAAAGACCTTAAACACACAGCCATAACTTACAGATTATCATACGACTGCTCTAAAATTGTCTCTTCGGACTTAAATCCTATACGGTGTAATTTGTAGAAAGAATAGGAAAATATGATTTCTCCGAAAACTCTATTTTAAGCAATTCTCACAGGGAGAATAGCACAAAATAGAACATCTTTATACGAAAAAATTAATCGAATCTCTGCCGAAGTACTTCAAAAGTGTAATTTTAGTTAAAGGCTATCCAAAAAGATATTGAATGTCCCGTTATTTTCCTGCTTTTATCAAACATAAATTGTTTGTTCAAAGCGTCCGAATAAGTACGCGAGTTCATTTTCAGAATTTTTTAAACTAAAACCCCTTTGAATAACTATGTTCCAAAACAAGCAGGCTTTAAGAAATGTGAATAAAAACGTACGTGAAAATATTTTATATTTAAGTTATGTCACTGGTATTTAGCAGCTGATACTTGCAAATAAAAATAGAAGACAGAAGTGTCCAAAAACAAATGCGAGCCACTCTAAACAGAATTTTTATGGTGGAAAATAGTCATAATATATGATATTAAAAATGTCCTCTATTAATCACATTAATGTTTCCATTAATTAAATAAATGTTAATTTAATTTGTTGCTATTCATTAACATTAAATTAATAGTAAGAAGTTTAGAATAGCTTAAAATTGTCTCTTTTTTGACAACGAGAAACAGTGCTCATTCATAATTTAGAAGATAAAAGAAAGATCACAGCATAGCAAAAGAACTAGAATAACTTAAACCTTCTTTTTTCGCACGTGGTTTGATCAAAGTAAAAACAATTAAAAAATTTTGTCGAAGATTAATAAAAGTAAACTTGAATAAAATATGAAACTAATATTTAAAAACTATTTTCGCGTTTTAAAATTATTACATAATTCTTACCTGTTCTCGAAATCTTCCGGTGATATATTCGTCACTCTTTCTACTTCTGTTAGATTTCGGCACATAGAGCAATCAACAGGCGGCATGAACATATTCTGAACTTCGGGTGGCATGTTTAGAACGCATAACTCATTTTCTATATCGAAACCGCGGAAGTAAAACCATGCTTTTGCGATGACAATCGCAATCGGTTCGGATCCAAACGAAACTACAAACGCAGCGACGAGAACTAACGCCGCAACAAGCCAAAATGCGACTTGTTTTGCCCAACATGCTTTTTTAGCCCTCAACTTTTTGACAGAAGGTAATTTTGAAAATTCCTCCGGGGTAATGCCAAGTTTTTCGCACTTACAGAAAATTTCTCGAAATAAGTCTTCCGGCTGCTTTCCCTTCAGTTTCTCTGCCATGCCTCACAAACCGGAAAAGCGAACGCGACTCTCTTTCCTCCATATTTGAAAGATCCGGCTTTTTTAAAGTTACTTCGATTTTCTGATTGCGGCGCCACCTATCGAATACCTTCCCAATTAAACAATGCGCGAGCTTTACGTACTTCAACATAAATCGCCATTTATTGGTTATACAGAAATTTGCCAATTTTCTTAACTTCCTCTAAAGAATGAAAATTATTTGGAATTGGGATTCAACCGAACTGAGTGCAAATTCTCAAGCGTTTCTTTTTCTATTCTTTCTTTAATCATAATTTCACTTTTTCATTATGTTATAAGTTAGAGGTGCTTAATTAATTCGCAATAAAAAGTCCAAATAAATCGTGCTTTTAACATATTTTAAAACAAATACTGACAAAAATGATTCATTTTATTCGTGGTTCTAATTGGTATGGATAAGTTATTTTTCTTTAAAAGTTACCAATAATTTGTATTTTTTGTAGTATTTGAATAGCAAATGAATAATTCAAATTTCCATTCCTTAAATACTTACTTAAATTTTAAATTTGTTAAGTTTGTACTTATTTAATAGTAAGGCAACAGGAATAGAAAACCGAACTGTTACTTCCTAGATTGCGACAATTGTAGCATTTTTCATATTTCACTAGCATAGGTTTGTCAAACAAACTCGAAACCCATGCAGATAGTTGAGAAAGGAAAGGAAGCTGCGCAAATAATAAGGCAAGAGAGAAACTTGTCATATGGCGAAGGAGTCTTACAAGAAAGAGAACAAAATTTAAAAAAAAAAAAAAAAAAAAAAAAAACCGAGAAAATCTGAAAGGTTTCAGATTTTAAATTACGTCCAAAGGGGCGTTTTTTTTTTTAACATTTTGTGTGTTACCTTTATTTATTAAATATCATGTTCTTCGCACCTAAGCCATAAAATTCAGTTCAATATCGCAAAATAATTTTAAATTGAGCATATCTTTAGAATTTCCCATGCACTATCTCACGCGCTGGAGATAAAAATGTTTTTTCTGTACAACGTTGGGCAACAGTTTGAAAAGTGATTACAGCCTTTTAAATATTTCAACGCAAAATGCCAAAACGAAAACAATAGCCCCTCAGGGACAAAGCCACTTTGGACTAATAAATTAATGATTTTATAATCATTAACGAACAAAATATTAAAAAACACAATACAGAGGCTCGATTTTGAGACTTATGACTCAGGTATTAAAGTTTGCCAATAAGGCAATGGTTCGGACAAATCAAACTGGAATTAACCCGTTCCGGCACGCTGCCTTTTAAAGTCGGAGTTTTGATTTAAAAAAAAAAAAAAAAAAAAAGATAGGCAGTCTAGTTAGATGCAGCTTGATCTGGGCACACCTAGGGTTCGCCGTTTGATTTTAGACAAGGTTTCAAGGTAAAAATTTAAAACTAATATAGAATAAGAAGATTAGCATACAGCCAAAAAAATAACAGAAATTTCTTTTCAAACAATTCCTTTTATACCCTAAAAAAATCTGGAAGATTTCTTTGAAAAATGAGGGTCTTAAAAAACTAAACATGGCTAAAATATATGGACTGGTTTGTGTTGAGCTGCCATCTATTATAAATAAAGAAGTTTCAGAGTAACCTATAAATCCTTTTTCATTCAATTTTTCTGTGCGTACAGAAGGAAATTTTTAGGTGTGTCCAGACCGGACACATTGTGCCGCAAAGGGTTAATGAGTTAACGTTGTATAAGGAATTTATATGTGAACATATTTTATTTATTATTTTTTTTTCCTTAACTAAAACATACTTTGAAGTGATTTTCGTGGACGGCATTGGTTAGTGGAGGCTGACTGCTTGCTTAAAACCAAGCATAAAGTTTCCACTCCCGCGTAAGGCTCGTCTATGTGTGCCTTCTTTTCGGTGTAATATCGGTGCCCCTCAGTAGTCAAACAGCTGAATAACCGATGAATTCATCCATTTCTGATGATGTTTAAGATGCTGGTTGTTCAAGAAAATTAGGGAATCAAACGTTTTACGACCTAATACTTCAATTTCAAATTACAGAACTTAAGTAGGAACATTTCCCACTCATTGAATAATTTAGTACCAAAGCACTGCTGGACATCGGAAATGGTTATAAATGCAAATCCATTTTCTTACCATTATTAGCCGATTGCGCAGCTTTCCGCTTTAAACAGGTATAAAAATTCTGATTTGGCCAGCACATGACTTCCTTGTACGGCCTATTAAATTATATACATTTCTGTTGTACTGCATTTGAACTTACTTCTTCGAATTATTGTAACTTAATGGAACCGATCCGGCAAGGCAAGTTGAAAATGACATAAAAAATTGCAAATTTTGAAATTTATTATGCTCGTCAGTTTTTGTCTTACGGGAGTCAAATTTCTTATAATTTTATTTTTTCATAACGAGTATAAAACTTTCCCAAATACAAATACAGGAACCGGGATACTGCATCAAAAGTTAGATTTCGTTATTTGGCGAAAATAACTTTTTTTTAAAATTTCACATTTCCAAAACATGAATATTTTCGTCATTTAAAACACTTCTGTAACTAGAAACATGCAGCTACGACCAGCGAAAATAAAGGCCGGGTAAGGGAATGGGCATATATATATTTCCCCCTTCACCATCTTCTATCCTGTTCACCTGGACTTAACTGTGCTGCGCTCATTCTACTTGAAGGACCTTTCTATGGGATACGAAGTTCTGACAGCCGGAACACAGCACGAACTTTTCATGCTAATTTCGGCATACAGCGGAAGTTGGAATTAACTTGTTGCAATCGTTTGCGAGGTTGAGACCTTGCGAACTAAAGATTTGCAGTTGAGTGTTTACCAAGTCTGATCTCGAATTAACACTCGAACGCCAAGTTTTCGGTTTTATCCGTTTTGTGCACTCTCTGTAAGTTTTTCACTAAACTGAAACTTTTAGTCTCAATCATTCGCTCTCCCAACACCGTTTTAAATTCAGATTGGAATTCTAATATTCCTATTTTCTGCCTCTCAGAGTGGAAAACGACTCTATGTTTTATGGTAATTATTGCTCATTTGGATGGGTACTATCAACCCTCTTAATTTGTAAAAACAATTTAGAATCACCCTGTATATTGTCATATATACCGGGTGAGCCAAAGTTCGTTAAAACTTTAAAAATTCATAAATAGGAAGAAATTAAGATAAAAAAGAGTGAGGTTTGCCAAAAAAAAAAAAAAAAAAAAAAAAAAAAGGATCACGAGGAAGTCTGATTATTTTTAGCAGCAGAAAAAAAAATTGTTTCAAATGTCACCGGTAAAGGGCGCTGACGACCCGAGATACAATGAACAGGACAACAGGTATAGGTAGAAGCTAGGTCAGCACCTCTGTAGTACCACAGGTAATTGAGGTATTGCTGAACCTAGCTAACTGTTAAGCTTTCCACCTCAATTTTGAGGAAGAACACCCCGGGGGGTGGTCTGAGGTTCTCCCGCCCCTCCTTTTTTTTTTTCCGTCAACCACTTGAAAGGACTTCCTGAGATAACTGACTTCTGGTATTAATAGTGTACACAAATCATACTGAGAAAAGTCTGTCCTTGAAAAGTTCAACAACTGATGCTTCCAATAGTCTAAATGTTTGAACAAATGTCTTTTCTAAGGCGGAAGATGTAATAAGCAAGTCTTTGGAGCTTCCGTCCATCAGCATTGCGTAGAAAAATGAAATTGTTGGAACATTAAAATAAAAAAATAGACAAATATATTTTAGTAACATATGGAGATGAATAAGCATTAGATATGACAAATATCCAGTCCGAGTCTTTGGATATGTATAAGAAAGTCTCTAATTTTGGCCCTAAGGTGTCTGTCCTTTATTGCGTACTTCTTAAATGGTATTTGATTGTTGTTAGGCTTAATCAGATGTTTGCCGTCTGTTAGATTACAGTCAAAAATGTAAAGATCAGGGTCACCCCTTCGCCCACATATGCAGAGATCTATGGGGCACATGTCTCTGTCATGGAAGTAGGTGGGGAAAGGACCGTGCCCTGTGATATACTGATTCAGAACATGGTCATAGTGTAGTGCCTCTTTGTCAGTTTTTGAGAAAAAAATGTGGACTCTTCTGCCTTGCAAAGATGAATTCCACTCTTCTTGCCACTTTGAGTCGACAATTGCATTTAGTGTAAATTTTAAATGGGACTTGGGCCACGGGACATGAATTACCTCACTGTTGATGTTAGTCGTTGCATCCTTTGCAAGAAGGTCAGCTGCCTCGTTGCCGTCGTTTCCATTGTGGGCTTTCACCCCATTGAGGAAAAACTGGATTTCTGGGTGGGCACTGACTGCATTTTGAATACCTTGAACCAGTTGGTTCTTATTGTTTCTGTCCTTCAGGGCATATAATGCAGATTGACTGTCTGAATAAATAGCTATTGTCCTGAAATTATTTGATATAGCTTTATTTACTGCATATTTATTTACTATTTGAATTGCTGACAGCTCAGCTTGATAAACAGAATTTTCCTGGAGATAATTTTCCTTGCTATATTGTTGGAATAGAGGAAGATGAACATTGACACTGAGCCCACTTCTCCATGAATTTTAGAGCCGTCTATAAATGCTCTTGGACATTTTTCTTGACTATTGATTTTTGATGCGTCCGTATTGATTATTAAATTACAATACTTTGCAGGATGGTAAGTCAATGGTATGGCTGGAGACTCATACTTTGAGGCATAAAAGGTGGTGCCGTTCAGGTAAGCATCTTCTTTCAACTGGAGTACTTTAACTTTTATTACACTCATTTCCATAAATTAAGGATAATTCGGAGTCACGCGGAAATCGAACTCTAAAATAAATATATCACCTGTAAAATCACTACACACATCTTCAAGAATCATATGCAAATTTCAGAAAGTAACCAGATGACACCGATAGTACGTCACAATGACGAGAGTGTAAAGAGAGTGATATATAAGGAATACAGGCAAAGAAGTAAAATTGTTCGCAGGCGCTTTATAAGCATTTCAGTGCAATAACTGAATA